TCATGGCTTTCCTTACGACCCAATAAATATAGTCTGACCCAAATTAATTCTTATTCCATCAGATGCTTGGTTCTGGAAGACAGAGCCAGATGATCTGAAGAGGATCCTAAGCCCCAAGGAGGAAGTTAATCTACCCAACCCTCCCTGAGCATCCTCTTCCTGGCTTTGGAGTTGTCTTGTCTGCTCCAGCCCCACCAGGAGCCCCTTTGCTGTTCCTGGTGCTCTCCGATGAGCTGCCCCTCCCTCCCAGAGACCACATGGGGGTGGCTGTTCAGTGACATGTGCCACCTGCACTCTGATTGTTCTGAGACCCAGCCCAGAGGGGTGGGGAAGGCACACAAACCCTATTCCAATAAACTGCCTGCAGAGAACTACAGCCTGCTAATAGTCGCCGAGGCCTCAGCCCCCTAAGGTCTCCAAACTCATTTGACCAGCACAGCTGCGACTTCGGCTGTCTGCCTCTGGCAGGTGCCAATATCAGCATCTTGTCCCACTGCCATGGGGAGTTTATTTTTGCTCAAGGGCAGCTGCCAAACCCAGCACCAGCACCAATAGAAGGGTTTCTCTGATTTTCTTCTCTTCTCTCAGGCTCGGCTTACTTACCAATCCCCAGTCGTGTTTTCTAGAAAATGCCAGGAGACTGGCCAACATCATCAGCCTATTCTTTTGTTCTGACATCCGTTCTTGCTCACCCAGGTTTTCCTAGAAGAAAGTATGACCCATACAAGGTACGAAAACACCGCTGAGTAAATGAGAAACGTCGGGACACGGGATGGCTTCATCCTGTCAGACAGTAGCAGGAACTGGCCCTTTGCCTTGGCTTCCTGGCATTGAGCTGTATTGATGCTGCTGCATGTGTCCTCCTGAGATTAGTGAGGGTGACCTGGGAGAAAGGTCCTGAAAAACCTTTTGGATCAAAGCAACTGTAAATCTGCCCCTTGTGTTTCCCCTGCTGAGAGAAGAGAAACTAGGCCTCGTCCCAGGAGGAGCTGACCATGACCACACAGTCCCAGAGGCTCACCTCATCTGCCAGAAAGGCCAGGACCCAGAATGGGGCAGTGTGTGGGAAATCAGCCAGTGAATCTGCTGAAATGTTAATCTGTCTCAAGAGTGGGATGCTGGCAAGACAAATGGACCACTTTACCAGCCCTAGCCCAATCCCAGGGCTGGCAGCCTGTCCGTCAGCATCCTGAGATGTGAAGTCAGATGCCCATCAGTTCAGCACCCTCACTGCACCAGGACCATGTCCGAGTGAGTCAGCATTCGGAGCCGTAGCCTCCCCTCCAATAACTCCAGAATACAGGGCCCTCTGACCCAGTGCAGGGAAACCCTCCTTTTTTGGATTGGCAGGATCCCTCAGTGTGACTCCTTCAGAGACTCTCAAGTCTCCTTTAAATAGTCCATAGGTTTTCAGACCCTGTCTCCAAGAGGTAAGCCCCAATATACGTGTGGTCAGCAGCAACGTCAGCTCACCTGGAACGGAGAAGGCAAGTGCCCTCGCTCAGCCTGAGCCTGGAAGGTCACCGAGGACTCCTCTGGGCCTCCGAGGGCCACAAGCTCAGCCAGACAGACATAGTGGAGCGGTCAGAGCTGCCAGGTGCCTGCCACGGTGCAGGTGGAGATTAGAGGACCAGAGCAGCTTTAGCTGAGGAAGCGCAGTCGACAGTGGTCATTCGAAGGAGCAAAACTTAGTGCATGCCGACCCTGCTGCACGCTAAACATAACAGAGGTCGTGCAAACTAGAGGGAAGTAGGGCGCAGAACAGGGAAATGCAGTGGATGCTGTGGGTATAGGAACCCTGGGGCTGTTAGAAATCAGTAAAGGTGGTCACCAGGGGCCAGGCTGGGCAACGGCTGCAGGTACAGGTGAGGGGCCCTCGGGCCTTCTCGGTGCACTGTCCTGTAAGGCTCCATCGGGCACGAGCAGGCGCACTCGCGCTCTTTCTCTGTTCAAACTGCTGCAGGGCTGTATGATTCCGCATTATCTTCCTGGCATGCAAAGCATACTTGATCTAGAATTTGGGTTCTTATTTTTTAGTTTTAGCTCAAGGCATTTCTGAAATGTGGGGGGAAAAAAAGAAAGGAAGCTGTCGAACCACATCACAGATTGCCTTGCCGTATTTGGCTGGGATCTTACTGTAATCAGACATTTCTGATGTGCTTTTCTGGATTCAGAAATAGCTGATTGTCCTCAGAGGGTTGAAAAAAAAAAAAAAAACTTCA